TAGGATTGAACCCAGAAAGTTCTTGCTGCAAGGCAATAGTGCTAGATTTTAAAGTAGAGATACAGAAATACCTCATATACTCCATATTAGCAATTAGCGTTCAAAAATCTGGACTAGTTTTATTACTGTTTGTATTTCACTTTTGTTTAAAATATTTATTCATTCAAATGTGATGAGAACATTTGTCATGTCAGCAACTTCCTGCTTTATATTAATAAACACTCCAGAAAACAGGAGGAACATCACTAAAGTGTCATATTTGGAAAAAAAGAAATGGCATATCCTCATAAAATCTATGCAGTTCTCTTGTTTCTGCCCCATCACTTGTTTTGTTACTTAAAACCGATTAATCATTTTGTGTGAAGTAACAAAACAAACTACAAACACAATCTTATTTTAATAAGAGGACTTTCCATAGAGACAAAGAAATGGAAGGGAAAAACAATGATGACCTAAATACTACCTACAACAATTTCTACTTTGGTTGCAAAAAGCTAATTCTGATAACAAATGGAGACTTGTGCCTCTGAAACTCAATAATTCTTCATGTGCTTTTTCTTACACCGCCTGCAAAGAAGATTAAACTGTGCTTACACAGTTTGGGTTGCAGCCCATATAATTTTCTGCACTCTAAGAGGTTGCAGCCAACCTCACTTTTCAATTCCTGATACATTTCTGCACATAAGGTCAGTAGATGTTCCTCACACAAAATAAAAAATCAAGTTTTCTGTTTAGATGCTGTTAAATGGCATTTGGAAAAAAATATATCTGCCCTTACAACTGATGCTTTTGCAGAAGCATTACTCTGATAAATTCTTTGAGCTGTTCATGACCTGTTAACCGACGCAAATTATTTTGAAGTTTAACTACACAACGGCGTAGACAACACAGATGATATACAGTAACTCCTAGAAGTCTGCATCCACACCTGTATGAGACGAGAGGAACACAAAACGGAGAACATAACAGCTAAAAAACAACCAAAGTATCTTCAAACTTCAAGAGCAGCGGGTATCCCTTAGACCAGTGTTTTTCAACCCTTGTCCTCAAGGCACACTGCTCTGCATGTTTTGGATGTTTCTGAGTTTCAGCACACCTGATTCAGATGATTGCAGTTCACCAAAGCCTGATAATCTGCTATCAATTGATAACAGGTGTGTGGAAGGTGGGAAACATCTAAAACATGCAGGGCAGTGTGCCTTGAGGACCAGGGTTGAAAAACACTGCCTTAGACATCCATTTATGTCGAAGGCAAAACCTACTGTGATTACACAATATTAAGACAGGCATACACCGTAAATTTTTTTGCCTTTTTTGGGACAATGTTCCAGTCGTGCGAGAATTTTTTCTATCGGGGTTTCAGCCACATTGTACGTCCTGCGTTGTGTAGTATACAGGGGGTAACGAGGGGAGATAAGCCTCTCACGACCACCTCCCGATCAGGAATTGTAAGGTGGGGAGAAAATCAAACATGTTTGAAATACAGTCAGCCGTTGTGAGGTGTTCGTGGGCAAATCCTACTGTTGATGTAAAGCTAAGAGCATCCACGAGCTGATTTACCACAACCTCGAGCACTGCACATGTGCAATGGAGTTCTTCTTCCTCAGATTAACAAGTCCAACCAGTGCATCTCTCTGCACTGAGTCTGACGGGTGGTTTTTAGATGTAAAAGTGGGAGCAGGTAGATCGCATCAGAGCATCGGGCCAAAAATGTGTGAGAACATATATCGTGAGCTGTGATATTTTAAAACCTGAGATTTCATCCTACAGTTTGAGCTGTAGCTGCATGCAAAAATTGAAAATATCGAACAGTGTATGCTCGGCTTTATTCAGAGTGGTATATATCTGTAGCTTAGTATTAATGGGTATCCTTGAACACCTGGAGCCAAACTCCCATGCTGTGTGTGCATGGGCATCCTTTTGTAAAAAAGATTTACCAGGCTTCTTCAGAAGGCCCCAGACTTGCCCAACAAGGCCCTGGATAGAAAAAGAAACAACGCAGACCCCGGATATCCAGAGGCACCCCAGATCAGGGGGACACAAGGAGGGCAGATATAGGGATGGCTGCACCCAGCAGAGAAGGGCAAACAAGAGAGCACTCTGAGCCTGAATCCGAGGTGCCAAACCCCAAGGGGAGCAAGTCTCTGAGGGGCCTGACCCCAGAGACCATGTGCCGGGTTCCCATGGAGCTGTGGCAGCAAGCCCATGGGCTTTTACTGGCAAACTGTCATGATCAAGGTGGACATGGATGAGAACCCTGCGGTCCGGTGGCGAACCACCCTCCCGTGCTGATCCCACAGAGCTAAGAGACCCAGCGTGGCAGCCACCAGGATCGAGATAGCACCCACTGAAGTACCCAGCTATGCACCTAGAGAACCATCAGTGCGCCAGCAGACAGGCACCTTTCGCTCGCAGGGAAAGGGGAGGAGCCAGGCCCTGCTCAAATGTAGGTTGGGCTGGGGAGGCTAACACCCAGCCTGTGGGTAGACAAAAAATAACTTCTTATTCATCCTGTCACATTGACACAGTCCCATCTTTACACCGATAATTACATACTGTATACAAGCTTTCAACGGAGACGCACACATGGGCAGACACTAAACATATTCTCACACTCGTCACACACACACTATCCTCCCGAGTCTGGGGGCTAATCTTCCCAGGGGGAAGGGGCCAACGGACCCAGGAGATCCCCAGACCTGTAAACCCTAACTTTCTAAATGCATTCCAATAACCACAGGTGGGCATGAGCATCGGAAGCAATGCCAGAAAGCATGACACATCTCTAGTACCTCAAATACACCCCCAGGCCAACAAAGGGAGAGCCAATCCCCATAAAAAAGAGAGGCCAAGGACTGGGCGCAGAGGCAACAGAGCAAGGGACTAAGCAGGTCGCCCGCCAGACAAATCCCTCCCAATCCAGGCCTCTTGTGGAGGTGCCCTTCTTCTGCTGAAACCTTTATGGAGGGTTATTGAGGAACTATCCAATTTACTTTAGGTGATTTTTTAAAAACCTAAAACTATCGTCTTGCTGCATGCAGTCCCATAACTGCTGGTATGTGGCAAAAGATCTAGCTATGACTTTCAACAATCCTACCACATATAGAATTTGGGTGTTCTATATGTGTGATGGTGTATAATGGTGTGTTGACCCAGACAGAAAATAACCCCAAAGCAACATTTATGCACAGATTATGACTTTAAAGGCTGATAAACTTATTTTTTCCTTTGTGTTTCAATTTTCTTCTTTCTATATTTTTGTTTTTGTATGAGGTCCATGATGAGTATATGAAAGCTTCAAATAAGAATTATAAAGTACTTGAGGTAAAAAGCAGTTTGACAAGAAAATTGTAATATTATAAATCCTACAACCCATTTTGTATTTCAGAATATTGCAATGTAAAAAAAAGAAGTGTTCTCTGTGTTCAAGCTGTTTATGACTTCACTACTAAAAGGTTGCTATGTTTGAGATGGCCTTATGTTTAATCAGGTGGCACATTTTAAGGCCAAAGCCAGACTATAATTCTGAAAGAAATCAATGAACCTCTGGTTTTACGTCACTTTAAACCCACCACTTGCTTTCTGAAAATGTACAAACTGGTTGGTTATGAGCTGGTTAGTTAGTAAACGTTTGCAAAATAATGAAAATTCATGCCTTTTTTGTGCGCCAAAAGAAATGGCTGTCAGTATTCTTTAAGTCAGGTATGACACACCATTTTTCCTGATAACAGTGGGAGAGGGAGGAATCAGATATTCATGATCTTTGTGGACATAGCAAAGCATTGTGGGTATTCTCGAGAAATTATACTGATTGGCAAATATTTGAGGTGCAGCCCAGCTGTTTGCCTCAGACAAAGGTTAAGAATGAAGTGGCAACTATCGAATTATTCATCACGAGGAAGGCAGAGCTAGAGGTGTCTGTCGTTTTGGTGATCTTTTTTTGAGAAGATGATAGTCAAAAACCTAAAAGAAATCCAACAAACATTGAACATGACATTGAAATCACTCTGATGATATCATACATTCTGCTTTATGATTCTTCATTTTTCAGATACTGTCTTTGACCTGCTTTTGGTAACAAATAAACAACAACAGTTTAAGTCATTTCAAAGCTGTATTTGCATAATCCACATCTGCAGTTTTCAGAATAAGAAACCAACTTAAAATAAAAAAATGAACAATGGTGTGTAAAACATTAATGGACAAAGAGTAGAAATATGAAGATAACAAAGAGTAGAAAGTTTAACATTGATTTTAGGGATCTCAAAGAAAATGTTAGAAAAGGAGTTCCATGAATATAGAGGATGGAGCACAGTCACACTAAACCCTCAAATCAGTACAGTTTTCTGCAATGCCAAAGTCCTTATTTGAACATAACTTTCATTGATATATCCTTGAGCTTTAGAACTTTTTTCCTGATGTTAAGATTTCTTGTTTTTAATTAGCAGACACGCGGTTATAAGGAGCACATGTACCACTCACAGAATTTTCATACCTCTTCTTTTTTTTTTTCTTCTTTTTTTTTTTTTTTTTTACATCTTACATCCAACAACCTCAAGATACCCTATCTGGGTTGCATGCTACGACCAACACAAAGTAAAGCTTTATTTATTAAAATGATGCATGGTTTCAAACAGCTCCCATCTTGGATTCATAAATATCTTGCAGGTCCAATCCAACAACCGACAGGCCCAGCAAAGACGCTGTGAATCACAGTTAATCATGGTAAACCTGGAGGAGCAGCAGAGATCAAAAACTCACTGATGAAGAGGTGCAGTTTACTACAAGCTATGTAATTCAACGCTAAGGGAAACAATCCAGGCTTTTAGGCTTGTTTGAGACGTTCCATTCAGCAGATCTCAGTAAGATCTCACTCCTCAAACAATAAGGTGTCGTTCATACCCTTGATAGCTTACCGAGAGATGTTTGATCACATCAACCGGGTGTGAATTGGTTTTAAACTAAATCTGAGGCCTCTTACTGTGATAAGAGCTTTTTATTTTCTTGCCTACAGTATTACAAATGGCAGTCTGCACTGTTGCCTTGCAGGAAGAAGGTCCAGGAATTTCTGATAACACATTGGATCTTGAGGCCTCAGGGTTCAACTTGGAGCACACTTCTAAGCCAATTCAGTAATTAATTTGAAAATATGTTTCACCAAATGCACAATGTGGCAGAGACACCATTTTTCACCAAAAGTCTTAGAGATAAAATTGCAGTAAAAGTTGGTCTTCATTTGATGTTGCCTCAGGTAAGCTGAATTTTTATGCATGCCCTACTTATCAACCTTCACACTTTTTGGATTTTTATTTTTGAAAACAAGTGTAGAAAATCGTGCATCATTTCTATTCCACCTTATTCCAAGTTGGTTGCTACGTTGTGTCGACGCATCACATAAACTTCCATTAAACTACATTAAAGTGTACAGTTGTAATGTGACAACGTGAGAAATAATGCAAGCGCTTTAGGTATTTTCTTCAAGGCATTTTTCTTCTCAAACATTTCATAATTATAAAACTGGAACAGTCAAAAATGTGGTAAAAGTTCAATCTTTGTTAAAACATTATAAATATTTCATATCAAAGCAAATTTTTCCAGTATAAAGTCCACAGTGCTGCTGGTTTAGTAAAGTGGAATGTCTAATAAGATACTATAAAAAGGAAAAATCTGCAGAGAAAACAGCAAAAACATTTTCAGTCCCGTAAAGTAGGCTGAAGCCTAACAGACTTAATTCATGGATCCACGACAGGAATTGTGCTGACCTTGTTGTTCCTACTGATCCGACGTTCAGGCCGCTGTTTGGGTATTTTGGTCTGGATCAGTTCCTCTGGTGTGTTACCCAGTGGAGGCAGCAGCCTCTTCTTGCTGTTCCTGGTCTCAGGAAGCCACTGAGGTGGCAACTCAAATGGTCCAAAACCAAACTGTGGGGAGTCCTCTGCTTCTGTGGGAGTAGCTGGCGCCACCTGTGAAGATGAGGTGTACGCGCATGTGTGAACGGGAGAGGCCCGAGCTGCTTTAGCCACTGCAGGAGCCTCTTTCGTGATGACCAGCCCTCCAACTGGGTCCTTTGAAGTGTTCATTTCACCCTTAAAGCTTCCCAGTCTTGACCTATCCTTCAGGTTTTCTTTAGGCTCCAAGCTTCCTCCTAATATTTGAGAAGGAATCTCATTCTCTGCATCCTCTTCCTCCTCTTCAGAAGGTCTGAAGATATGCTGTTGGCCGATATTAAACATCTCCAAAAGCTGGCTCCCGGATCGACCAGCTGTATCTAGTCCCACAGGCTCACCAATTACCCCCTCGCCCCCTATAGAGGCTAAACCACCGGTATTGACCACGTTACGGCGGCTGTAGCGCCTGTGAATCCTGGACAACAGTTCCAGGCAGCTATGGCGTGCTGAGCGGTTCACCGTCAGAAGTAAGACAGGGTTGGTTAGGAGGGAAACTTTGGGAAGCCAAAGAGCTGTGAGATAAAGTGAGACAGGCAGCTCTTTAGTGTCTGCAAAAATGGTCCGATAAACCACTAATGCTCCGTAGGGGGCACTGCATGCTGAGAAAGCCAGCACAGCAGCCAACAGGGTAGCATGCAGCTCTGCCTCTCTCTGTGACACGTAAGGAATGGAGATACTGTTCTGCGGAGTCCGTAGAGCTGCAATGATCACCTTCTTCTTCTGGCTGGCGCTGAGCGCTCTGCGGATCAGCAGCATAAAAAGGAAGACAAGGGCCAGAGGGAAGATCACGGTAGTGAGATTGTAGATCAAAACAAAGACCACGTGACCCGGAGAGCGAGCGTGGTCATCTGAGCACGATGAGGTGACATAGACATCAGTAACATTAGTCACAGCAAACACAGGGAGGCTGGCCACGACGGCGTGCACCCAGATGTAGATGATCAAGTCTCGAGATCTGGCATCAGAGATTTTCCTCTCTAAGGGGTACAACACCGAGTAGTACCTGCAGACACAAAAACAAAGCGTTAGCTTCCATGTAGGAGGAACTGGGACATAAAAGAACTGAAAGTAGTTTTGGGATTCTGGAGTTATTCAAGCTGTTTTCTTGTGTGAAAAAAACACCCTCTACTTTGAGATTAATGTCAACTAAATGCAGTCACGCTTTAAACGGCTTATGAAAATCTCTGTAAAGAGGATTTATGTGGAAATACAGATAAACAGAATGGAATTTTAAAGATTGAGTGTCTGAAATACCCACGTCAACAGCAGTAGGTTTAAGTAACACATTCTGTTTTTGTGAAGTAAGCCAGGCGAAACAGAAATCCACACAATCTCCTATTGATGTTAAAGCTTCAAATGGTTTCACAGCAGAGCTTGAATATATATAACATTAACAAATCCATTATATCTGATGCATGCAGAAAAAGAATGCTAAGAGAGGAATTTTTACACATTTATGCTGCTGTTATTTTAGAGGGAGTTAAAATGTCGCAGCTAATTTTCAAAGAGTTAACAGGAATTTTTAAAAGACTATTCGGTTTCGTATGCTTCCTCTTTTTTACAATTCTTCTTTCATTTTTGTATCTACAATAAAACGTTAATTTTTCTTGCCTTTTAATGGTGCCTTGGCTTACCTGCCCCTCTGCTGGCCCATACCCAATCAAAATGCAGTAAAAGTCTGGAACAATGCCGCATAAGCATGCATAGGCTCAACTTGACCACAACTATAAGATGTAACTGAAACGTTAAATTTATCTTGCCTATGTGACCTCAGGAGTTCACCGCTTCTCTGCTCTTTAACAGATGTTATAGTCATCGATCATTTTGTTGGACATTTGACTGGTCTTCTTGGAGAATCGATAGACTCGATTTAAATAAAACATATTTTGGTATTTACCTAGCTTTTAATTATAAGCCATTGTGTTTTATTGTTTTGAAGTCATAACCAAATAAAGATGTAAGGTTAGCCTGCTTTATTAATTTCAAAACCAGTTCTTGTGTGTTTGGGACCGTTGTCCAGATAAAACATGCAACTGTTGAAGAAACAGCCCCATACCATGATGAGGTTACCACCATGTTTGACCCCATGTTTGTCTTAGGTTTAGTATTCCCATATTGCTCACTCCAAGCAATCTTCCTGCCTCTGTGACCAAAATGCCTTAATATTTGGTAACAGTTGGGATAAGATGGTTAAAACTTGAATAGAAATGAGTGTACCAATAGGATGATGAAGCTGAAACACAAATCAAACCTGGTTTTAATTCTAGACTTCTGGAACATATCCTAACATTTATTAACTATACTTGCTTAGTAGAAAACCAGACCACTAGAAGTGAATTTTAACAAGCTCTACAAATTCTTCCAAAAGAGAGCAGTCGAATATCCAGAAATGTGAGGATTTCACTTAAACTTTTTACAGAAATTCAACCCCTCAAGTTCTATAGATATACTAGCAATTTTATTTTATCACCCTTTGAACATCCAGGGATAGGACATAGAAACTGTGGACAGTTTCAAATACCTGGGTGTTCACGTCAATAACAAACTGGACTGGACCCATAACGCCGACGTCCCGTATAAGGGCAGCCACCTCCTGAGGAGGCTCAGGTCCTTTGGAGTAAGCAGGCCCATACCGAAAACCTTCTATGACTCTGTGGTGGCATTAGCCCTCCATTACCCTGATGTCTGCTGGGCCCCAGGCACACAGAGCGGGACAGAAAGAGACTGAACAAACTGGTGAAAAAGGCCATTTCAGTCCTAAGCTGCACTCTGGACTCAGTGGAGGAAGTGGCCGAGACGAGGGTGCTGTCCAAGCTCACGTCTATCATGAACAACACCTTCCACCCTCTGCACCAGAGTGTAAAGGAGCTGAGCAGCTCCTTTAGTGACAGACTTATGTTACGTTCAATCTGCACACTTCAGAAGCAGCAGAAGCAGCTAGTTTACATGAAAGTCAATGGTTGACCTGGATCAAGACCCAGAAAAAGGTATTGCAGCGCGTTTTGAGCAGCAGTAGCAGCGTAACGTGCTTCAGAAGCACCAGCTGCTGGTGTTCGAAAAATTTAACTTTTGGTGCTCGACACGCCACATCAACCAATCAGAGAAGCTGAACTGGGAGCTGGCAGGGAGACAGACACAGCACTACTGATGCAGATCGCTAAGATAATCCTCTGAAACAACTCATTAATGCCTAAATTAACGTAAAATGTTGAAACCTGCTGGCAAAATATGTTCGCTTTTATTTTTCCGCCCCCAGTTTGGAATACGGACTTGAAATACCTTTGAGTCGCAACGAACAGTAGCGGCGAACCACGAAGAGGCGACCAGGCCAGAGGCATCTACCGGGCCAGAGGCTGCCGTTAAACTGGATTCCCAGTGACAGAGCACCGGGGGTCTGAGGGCTCCGAAAGTGAAACAATAATTGTAGGCAGGATCGTAATCTTCATAAACTAACTACACAGATGAAGTTATCAGGTGGACTTTCTTACTTAAAAACATATTAAAACTACTTTTTACCCAATTATAACAGCAAATATATTAAATCTGCTCTCTGCCACTCAATACAGGAGCCACAGAAGCATTGGATGCATCTGGACACACTTTACTAGACATCTGACCTTAATGGGGACAAGCATCAAAAAACAAGCAGCAGAAGCTTTTTTGCTGCTTCCAGTGCTTGTGGTCTGAACACAGCATTATTCATTAAAATAAGCCAAGCGACTCTCTCAATTTCATCCGCCATTGTTACAGGCAAAGAAAGGATAACTCCACCTAATGCACATCAGACCCACTTTCTGACCGCGCAGCTAAAGCAGCAAAGATTGAAGCATCTTTGCTGCCCGTCAGAACTAAACTTGTGCAAGTATCAAAAATGAAGAAGCACGCATGTTGTTGCTGCTTCTGCAGCATGCGGACTGAACGTAGCATTAAACACCCCATGTGTAAAAAGAAGTGCTACCGCAGGTCATTCATCCCTGCTGCTATCAGACTTTACACTGCCACATCTCTACAACCTGGTGTAATAGCACTGCAATAACTTATACTAATTATCTATTTAACAAAGCATAAACTACACTTTAACTGCTGCCACTTTAATGTACATAAGATACTGTAAATATAAGTCACCTTAAATCTCATTTAGTCTTACCATCAACTATATATGCTTCATGCACCTTTTCCTCCTTTGTGCACCTCCTGTTTGTTTATAAGAGTCAATATCACAACTGAATTTCTCCATTGTGAGATCAATTAAGTTCTATTCTATTTGTTATCCAGTAAAAAAACAACGAAAAGGTGTCTACTTTTGTTTGTGCATATTCAAATACTATTGGTAATAAAAACGCCCCTACAGCGTGACTATGCAAAATCCACCATTCTTGATGGTTGACATATAGTTATTAGGATTTTAAGGTTAAGTACAAGGTATAATCTTCACTGTAAATCTACATTTGTAAATTGTGCTGGACCAGTGACAGAATATCAATATATTAACAATCATTCTATCAATTCTGTACAGAGATAACAATTAGCCACAGTTAAGTGCTAAATGCTTACTGTTAGTTGTACAAATGTTGCAGCTTCCTAAATAACATTTATTTATATGTCAGTAGGTTTATATGTTCATATTCAGGCTTGCATTTTAATGGTGTGTGACTTTGACACAAAACTAATTTCTTAAAATTTGTGCTTCCAATATTGATCTCCTCCTACAAAAAACATTAAAACCCAATCATGTGTAGCTCTAAAATGATAATGCGATTTATGACTATTAGTAGTGTCTTTGTTCTTAAGCCACATTTCCTGATATTGATAAATCAAATAAATGAAGATGTCCATTAATTTTTTTTTTTTAAGATTCAAGATGAGGAAAAAACCCATTAAGATTTCATTAGCTATTTTCCTGTTTCTCATCACTGTGTAAATGAGCCAGTAAGTGTTTTGCAGTCTCAGCTTCTCTGTATATCTCTAGCCTTCATTGCCCTTCTGAAGAATAAATAATTAAGCGTTTGGATATTATTCTGACTGCAGTTACCAAGGAGCCAAAAACAATCTTCAAGGCAGTAAAAAGAAGGTAGAAATAATGGTGCAACATTGTAGTAGCCGACTGCAAAAGAAAAAAGTCAAAAACAAATCAAGCAAACAGCAAATTTAGGACTTTAACATAAATAATCTTTTTAATAAATTCAAAACAACTTTAATTTAGTCATGATTTGTCTGGATGATTTATTGGGATAAATGATCCAGCAGACGACTGAGAAAATATCACGTAGTCTGTTCCTACACAGTCCCTTTGTAAAAAGGGGTTCTCTTCCCTAATTTGTCACACCGTTTCAGTGATAAGTGAGGAACGTGACTACGGTAGTTTGAATGATGTTTCCTCTCTTCATTAGAAATTTGCCAATGTGTAAGAGCATGATATACAGTACGCCTGTTACATGTATCTGCATGTTATTAAAGGTTTCATCTCACAGTTATACACCTAATTTAATCTCTTGCATATTTTTCAACCTTGGGATGAGATTTTACCACATGTAGATACAGTAGAGCAACAAAGTGTTTAGTCAGCCACTAATTGTGTGAGTTCTCATACTTAGAAAGATGAGAGACATTTTTATCATAAGGTATAAAATGAGAAAAAAAAATCCAGGTAATCGCATTGAAGGATTTTTCGCAAATTTATTTATGAAGGAAAATAAGCACTTGGTCCCCCACAAAGAAGAAAAAAAAAAAAAACACAGATGTGTGTCAACTGAAACAAACAGAGAACTTTTTGGCACAAACTGTACTTGTTTTGTTTGGAGGGAGAAGAATGCTATGCTTTTTCCAAAGAACACCATACTTTCAGAAAAGCACGGAAGTGGAAATGTCATGCTATGGGGCTGTTTCTCTGCAAAGAAGACAGGATGACTGATCCGTTTTAGGTCAAATGAACAGTGTTATGTATCAGGAGATTTTAGGAAAAAAGCTCCATCCATCAGTGAGAGCATTGAAGATGGAAGGTGGCTTTGCCCTCCTGCATGACAATAATCCCAAACACAGCACTCACTTCTATCATATCTAGTACATTCTGGTTATTATGAGAGCAGAAGAGACTATAATAGATCCTTAACAGAGCATTGCATTTTCTGTTTCTGTTTTAAGACTTAAAATTTTATTCAACTGAATGTTCCTAAAGATTTAATCTAATGCAAATGAACATGTCCATTTCTCTTGGTGTGTGTATTTATTGCATGCTCTTTATCATTAAAGACCTAAAAAAAAATGTGTTGAAAAGGATTGTGCACACATTTAGTGGATAACATAGAGGTTAATAACAGCAGCTAAGAGCAAAGCACAGTTTTTCCTTCTAAAGCAGCTCTGTCTAACTTGCCCCTTTGTCCCTTCCTATTTTATGTTTGATCCAAGGATGACAGGATGTATTGTTTACGCCTGTGGGTTTGCTCACAGCATCTTTATCTGCTTAACACAGATTTTTGTGCCACTTCTGTGATCTAAAATCTAAACTGATATTAGAGATGATGTGGAAAACTATTGCTTCCTGTATATTCACACTATTCTTACGTGTTCCCAAAAGACTTAGCAGTATACTTTAGCTTATGGCAAGGAAACAAAATGCATGGATGCCAAAATTATAACCATTCTTACATTAAATTACACTGATTTCCCAATTTTTGCCTTCCCACACCATTTACCAGATAAAGAAGGGACGAGTGCTTCCACCATCCAGCTTAATATGTGAATAAAAACAGCTTTTTGCTTTCTGATGTGGACATAACATTATATCTTTCATGTTATTGTCACTTCTGTGCAATTTGCAGTTAGACAGCCATAAAAAATACGACTTTTAAAGTGGAAATATCATTTTTTTTAAACTCCTCAACAATTTTGTATGAAGAGAAAATCCTTTTACATCTGGCATGGCCCCTTATGGACTGAACAATTTCCCCGACGTTATTATTTCCTTTATGCTTCATAATGGATGTTCTCTGTTTCCAGGAACATAAAAACTAGCTCTGACAACAAAAAGGAAATATTCTATTTCCATCATGAGAAAGATCCTTTTTTAATTTTTAAAAACAGCGTGTGTGATTTTATGTGGGTAGCAGCTGCTATCTTTGGCTACTTTTGGTTGAAGTACTTAAAGCTGCAGGGAGGCTGGGACACATGCTCCATCGATTCCAGTCATCCACCTCCTCTTATCAACACAGGATGTAGATGGAGGCTAAAAAAGACTTTTGACAGCCTGAAAAACAACTGTTATTGATTTTAGCTCTTATTTGAGGCTCCATTAAAATGCTCATCTCCTTTCCATAGTCACATGGTCTCTTTGGCAGTATCAGCAGGAGAAATGTACCGATGAACTGATCAGAGAATTGATTTCAATGATCCTTCTCTTTAGAGCCTGAACCAAATTCAGTAAAGTGAGCAGGAGGTGCTCTTCATCTTTTTTTAGCTTCCCATTGACATTTAGGTTTTTCCTCACTGGAAACAATGAAAACCACATTCTACTCTAGTGAAAAGCTTTTGTATTAGTTTAAAAAATCTCCATTTTGATTTCAAGAGCAAAAACAATTTGCTACGAGTAGAAATGCTTTAAACGTATATTTATCGTCTTACAGATTGTTTCTGTTTTGGTTCTTTTTTTGTCAAATTTTTACATCATTTAATCAACTTTAACAATAAAGTAGCCCAAGTAAAAACAAAAGGCATCCAAAAACAATGTAAAATTCGGAATTAACTATGATTAACCAGACTCCATGAAAATCTCAACCCTTTTGTGAGATAACAACACAAAAAAACATGTTAAGGTTAAAATAAGACATTATTCATAAAGAGGGGCTCCTCTTCCCTCCTCTTCCCGCACCCGTGACATTATCAATAACCCCTCACACCCCACAATGGACTGTTCTCCCTGCTGCCGTCTGGGATAGGCTTCACAGCATTCGATGCAGATCCAGCAGATTCCGAAACCACTTCTTTCTCACTGCCATCAGACAGCCGAATGTTGAAAATAACTCTAAATCATCTGCATCACACTGTTTTTTTCTCCCACAATGTTTACATTTGATCACTGCTGCACTTGAAAATTAAAATGACATGAAAGTTGTACAAAATTAAATTTTGTTTTGTATACACTCAATACAAAAAATGTTGTCTAAGTCTAAATCTAAGTTATTAATACTAAACCATTCTTGATATTTTTATATTATTTGCACCTAATTAAATGAGCTAACATAGACGTTGTTATACACCATCATTATTTGCTGGTAGTTCTCACAAACTACCAGCGAACTACACAAATTTATGAGCATTTAGCTTCTTCTTCCATGAACGATTTGTAGCAGTGTTTGCTTGGCAGTCATTTTTTTTCCTCTTTTTGCTCTTGGTTTTGGACTTTTCCTCTTTCATTTCTCATTTCTATTGGGAAATGATGACTTGCTTGACTACAGTCCGTTTCATACCTTTGATCATCTGATTGTGTTCTTTTAAATAAAGAATTCTCTTAAGTTTACTAACAAATGGAGAAAAAAAAGGGTTAACATGCAAGAAAGTGCGCCAAAATTTAATCAGAAGGGCTTTTTGTGTAACCAGAGTGAGTTAGCAGCATATAAATCATCAATCATACATGGCTAGGCTCCTATGAATAGAACCTAAAAAAAAATGTAATAATGACCCTCATCTGTTTATGTATGATGTTTCTTAGGCTTTCAGACTCAAGCGAATAATTGAGAGCAACAAATCCATTAATGGAGGAGCACCAACATTACTCTAAGTGGGCATTAATGAGTCCCAAGCACTACAGGCCCTGCTTATCTCAGATAAGCTCAGTAAGATGCATGTCCCATAACTTTGAAAGTAAACACAGCATTTCGAGGAAATCAGTCAAAGATGGTGGAAGTAGTCTGTTGTGTGTAGGTATCAGGCTGCTTTGATTCCTAAAGATTTGGATAGTATACCTTAATGGATGGAATCATGAGGTTTTCTCTCTTCCAGATATTCTGGAGGATAACTGCTAACCTTTAGTTTGAAACCCAAGGCTCAAAGGCACTTTGTGCAGCAGGACTATAATTCAAATAGATCAGCAAGGTCCTCGTCAGTTGGCTATCAGAAATAATGGAAAATCAAAGTTTGGGTGTTGTGGCATGGCCTTAAACGGGGGGCTCATGCTCAAAAATCCTGAAAGATGTGTCTGCAAACAATTCAGCAAAGTAGTGCACCAAAATTCCTTAATAGCGATATATATCACTGACAGCTGCAACATTACATACATTCAACCACATAGGGTTAGGTAGCAATACCCTTTCAAATAGCAGCATTCATACCTACTGCACCCAACAATTTTGACTGAAAATAAATAAATAAATAACCTACCTATCAAGAGCGATGGCACTGAAGCTGAGCACAGTGACAGAGCAAAACAGTTTGTGCAGGAATTTCACAACCTTGCAGAGCAGCAATGTGTGAAGCCACAGACAGCAGCGGGGACTGGCTCCAAGTGCCACGTCGAAGGGGACACACACCAGGCCAGCACAGATGCCCGAACATGCCAGGTTCTTTATGAATCTGTTGGTCACTGATTTAAAGACACTCGTACAGCAGGTGCACCACAGCACGGTTGCATTACCTGTGGAAAAGACAAAGGAGATAAGAACAAAGTCAGACTTAAGAGTTCATTAAGCTGAATGACTTTGGTAAGATGCTAGCATAGAGCACAACTCAAAATATCTCATGAGTTAGTTCTTTTCAATACATTTGCAATTATTGCAGCAAATTTGCTAAATCGTTTCTCAGGTTTCTCATTGGCTATATGCTTTTAGAAATGGACATGGATTCTATTGGCTCTGACAGCTCGATAGACATGTCAATCATCCATAAATGGTTTGAACATTTTTTTTTAAATCATCTCTAAAAATAAAATCATTCCTTGTATAAAGGGCAAATCCCCCTTAATTAACATCTAAAAAACATATTGATACACTTACGATGTGTTATGAGTACAAACAAATATATCAGATAGCAAAAATGCTTTTTGTTGTACTTTTATTTGTGGGGCAGAAGATAATAGGGATTAAGAAATTCTCCCTTATTCTCTAAATTCTAGTTCAGATATTAATGCCAGTAAAACTATCAATAATTAGTTGTTTTAGAGTTTGTAGTCCTGTAAAAATATAAGAACTTATTAATTTTAAACACATTTTAAAGACATAAAAATACATTCTTAAATTTGACAAAAGTGTTTTTTAAAATTATTATTTTTGTGCAATATAAACCAATTAATTAAGCTTAGAGAAAATGTATCTATGTGTGGCTTTATTAACTAAAATATATTTGTATTAAGACGATTACTAGTTTTAAAACAAGTATATTTGGTAGATTAATTAACCATTGTTACATTCCTTTTTGAATTTTAGGGTGCACAAAAAGTAATGTCTTGAAATTCAAAACATGGCAGGTCCAAATAGCCAATTGTGGCTGCAGAGTTATAGATTTATAGCTGGGTCATTCCAAATTTTCATCAAATTCATAAAAAAAAAAACATTCATCAAATATGGGTTCCAGGTGTCTATCATAGCATTAGACAAGAGCACAAATGGGTCAAGAGCTAATTCATTAAAATTCCTTAATTAACCCCAAAGGGAAAATGAATCTATGGTTCAAAACATTTTAAAACTGCAACTGAATTAAAATTACATCCCTCATTAACCGAGATCGCAAGAGAGAGATCAATCATCAGAAAGCAGAAAATGAAAACTTCACTCAGAAATATGCCCTGTATTCATTTCCAGGGGGAGGCCGACAGCATGTGATGTTTTGGATTTCAATCAGTGAAACTGAGAAATGAGTAATGAACGACTTAATCAGTGATAGAAATATTCCAAAAATAAAGAATAAAGATAATTTCAGAAACTATACTAACCAAGTGAAACCCATTATATAGATTTATTATGCATATTTCAGTTCATTAAAATCATTTTGAATTTAGAGCTAATAAAAACAATATTTAAAGTAGAATATCAGACCATACTAATGGTAAAACATTCAACACAGAAAAAGTGAACAATATTTCATACCCAATCAAGGCTTGTTATTTTCTAAAGATACTTTTAATCTAATAAAGAAGTCTCGTCAGACCCTTTATCTTAATTTAATACCACAGTGTATGTTTGTTCCATTTTATTTCATATAAATAATGGTAGAGATTATAATCTGTCTAAAAAAACTAACATAGATGCACTACAGGTAAACTACCAGGTCAGACATGTCAATAGTTTGCATTATTGCAAAGATGAATTACTAAGTACAAATGGACATTTTTATATATGTAAGGCTTGATAAAAAAAGCTTTAGTTTATCCAACTGAGGTATGTGTTAAACCATAACCCTAGCTAATTATATTTTAGTTTTGAGCAGACATTTTGCCAGTAAAGTGTGGAGATTTTTTAAGCTCATAATATGATATAGGATATATTCATACTAGGGCTGAAGTAATGAATCAGATGAATTTTTATTAAGCGATTGTTGAAATAATCATCATTCTTAATCGATCATTCGTTAACTTTAGTATAAAGACTCTAAAACAGGCCTTTAGCTGACAGAGCATCCCACTTTGAGCAGTAACTATAATAAAATTGTAAGAACATATATAAATATTTTGCATTTAAGATAAAAAAAAAAAAAACACTTTTCAACTGAATAAAATGTTTCACCTAAAAATGTTGTAGAAGATCTTCTTCAAGAAACCTTTTGCTATCCGATTAATAATCGACTAATCAAAAAAATAGTTGAGATTAATCGCTTCTCAAAATAATGATCAGTTGCAGCTCTAATTTGTACCATAACAAAGGAAGTCCTGGATTATCAATATAAGTTTATTAACAGTGTGCACTGTGATCATCTTAATAAGTAAGGCCAGATTTTTAGAGATTACTAAGATGCTTTTTTTATATATACATATATATATATATATATATATAAATTGAAAGAAAGGCAAATAAGAGTGGGTCAGTGATTTGTTTTTTCTTTTGTTCATGATCAAATTAATTCATATTGTCCGATTACAGATTGTAATGTTCACATTTTTTTGTTTTAGAATTTGGTACCATGATAAAATGTCCATTTATTTTCACACTTTTACAGATATTTACAAGGCTGGCAATTAGCATAAGTGGCTGTTTATCTTAACCCTGCTTTACATCATAATCTGGCATCAACCAGCTGACATGGAGTCATATCCGACAGCAAAGCGCTGTGTGGGTTCAGAGCTCTAGTGCAACATCTTGCTCTGATGCATTATCAAGAACATCCCACATGCTCTAAACAGCTGCAGGTTGCTCATATCATGCTCCCCAAACACAGACAGAACTGTGACTTGCTCACAAAATTGTATCTCACAGTCCAAAGTAACTTAACCCTCATTCGTTTGTAGCCACAGTTTGGTAACTTTACTCAAAAGTCCCCTTCAACTTAAAATACTCGCGTGGCACTTCACAAATGCCATGCTACAGCAGCCAACAGAGGTAAAGACCAAACACTAAACCTTATTTTTCTTTCAGCCTATCGCATAAATGTCCAAATAGAACGAGGAACATTATCAGAAAGCACAGCTTGATTATTCTCTACATTTAGTGTTAATAAGCTGCTCTCAGATTCATCCATGTATCCAAACACAGTGGCACAAAAGATTGAGACTAAAACTTGAGTCATTATTAATGCATTTAACAGCTTTTCTTTTATTACATCCAAGTGGTGTTTAATAATTAGATTTCCCATGGCACCAATGCTTTCTAAATGATAAGTAGCAAATGAAAAAACGAAAAAGAAGCCTTAACCACTAACAGCCAATTCCATCTATCCCCTGACCCAGAACTTGCCTGGTCTCTGCCTGGAGCGTGATAATTGTCCTTCACTATTGCTCCGTTTATTAAGGATGTGATTATCTGTCAGATGAGGTGAGACATTTTATACGGGCCAAATTAAGGCTAATGGTGAAATGTTAATGAAAATTAGTCAGTAATCAATTAATAGTTAAAGAAAGTAAGAAACAGATTCACACTGCGGTTTACTTTAAACATATTTTCTCACCAAAGGCTTCTTTGCTTTAATCTTCATTTATTTCTAATAAGGCTGTTTATTTGGAGTTCAGATTATTATAAAGTAAACAGAATATCATTATTGGAAGTTCTTTGCATACCTGTTACATCTATACATTATATGATCTAAAGTAATTGAGTAGCCTTTTATCAAACACATTTTCTATTCTTAGTTTAATATATTTTTAGATGCTTTCTTTTCAGTTCTATTTAAGAAAATCATCTGAATTATCAGGGCTGCTAGGTGGAGCAGTGGATAGCTGCAAGGCAGAACCTTCTTGCCTTGCAGCAAGAAGGTTCTGGGTTCAATTCCCAGCCCAGGGTCTTTCTGCATGGAGGTTGCATGTTCTGCCTGAGCATGCGTGGGTTCTCTCTGGGTACTTCGGCTTCCTCCCACAGTCCAAAAACATGACTGTTAGGTTAAATGGCTTCCCTAAATTGTCCTTAGGTGTGAGTGTGTGCGTGAATGATTGTTTGTCTCTGTATTGCTTTGCGATGGACGGGCGACCTGTCCAGGGTGTACCCTGCCTCTCACCCGTTGACTGCTGGAGACCAGCACCAGCACACCTTGCGACCCCAGTCGAGACAAGCGTGTCAGATAATGGATAGATGGATGGATGGATCTGAATTATCAACTAACTTTGCTGAGCTGGAGGCTGGGATTTATCTGCAATCACAGTAGCAAAATAGTCCGATTGGAAAATGAGTATGTTTGATATTAGTTTTCAACTCTTCTCTCAAATTCTCAGGAAGATTTTACTCAGTCTGGTTTAATGTATTGTAAACCCCTTTATTGTCCCATAATGGACAATAAAGGGGATTTTGACCCGTCCCCCTGGGGAGCAGTGGGCTGCCATTGTGCGGCGCCCGGGTAGCGATCATGGATTAAGGGTTTTGCTCAGGAACCCAGAGTGGAGACTGTGGGGATCAAACTACATGCAACCCTCTCAGAGCACAAGTGCACTGCACTAACGCACTAGGCCAACACTCCCCATTATGGCTGAGCCACTTTATTACATGAACTTACTTTAATCTACACTATTTAACTGTAGGTTTACCTTCATATATTAGGGGTTTTCTCACATTTTCATGACTTAGACATTAGATAAAAACTGTTAATACTTTTTGGCCAGTTGTTTTTCCACGCATGCAGGGGCTCTCACTCAGAGAGCTGAATTCATTAGCATTACTCTTACTTTCATTAATCAAATGAAAAACCACTTTATACTTCATTTTAATATAAGAATAGTGTGGGGGACCAGTAATGGGGAGCTATAGAACAAGTCAGAACAACTTAGCCCCCTTTTTCCTTTAAAACGTATCTATGACCCCCCCTTAAATATTCTATTTTGTTTTGTAATTTAAAAGTCTTGTATTTCGGTTTTTACCTGAGGTTGTACAGATAAAGGCAGTTTGATAATCATAATTTTGGCAGAGAGGCAATTAAGATTAAAATAAATTCAGTTCAAACAGGCACAAAGGGCAGCCCTGGGTCCTAAGAATCGGTATTGGGAACATGTATAGTTAAGAAGAC